CCTCGAGCTGAGGAGATGGACTCAGGAGGCTTGCAGGCACGTCAGGGACCAGTCCCTGGTGACAGCTGGGCAAAGTTATTCACAATGTCAGAAGAGAGGCTTAGATCATGAATCTGTTTCTTTATTTTTAAATGCCCCAGCTGGCTAAAGACGTCGAAGGAAAGATGTGACAATCACTTCTGTCTTGTCCCAGACGAGCTGTCACTCAGGTCCAGAAAAAGGCTTGTGGGGCTGGGCTGGGAGTCACTGGCCAGTCCCTCACACCCAGGCTGGCCTGGGGCCTTTTACCACCCATCCATGGAAACTGAGTGGGAAAGGGGTGGTTTGGCGGCCCTTGGACAGCATTGCTGTAGCTTGCTAATGTCCCCACCCAACCTGAGTGCTGAGGAGGCTGTGGGAATAGTGTCACAAGCCTGGGTGTCTCCCCAGGGCTGCACATTCTCCTAAGGGGGCAAGGACATAGCTCTGAGGTCACTTCTCCAGGGCAGACCCCAGGGGCCCAGGCCCTTCTTTTCTGGACAAAGGAACAAAAGCCAAGGGCAGTGGCTGTAGCAGACACTGACGTTTGGAGGCTCAGTGTCTGAAGCCCCTTGCTGTGTCTGGGGGACCCCCTGCTTTATGAAGCTGAGCCTGCCTCCCCTCTGGAAGCTGGAAGTCTCAGGTGCTGGCTTTTCTCAGCTCCCTCTCAGCTTACAGCCATGCGTGCTAACGCAGTACACCTGCTGGGACTCTCAGAGCCAGCCAGCGACGACGGAAATCCTCCCGTTTCCTGAGCAGCGCGGGCACCAGTGGTTCCGTCGGCTCTGAGGAGCGGTTCGGGGTCTTGTTCCTGGCCGGGGAGCCCCCAAGCCTGGGTCTCTGGCCCTGCTGGTGGTCACATGACTTACCCAACATTCTTCCATAGCCGCAGCTGTACTTAAACCAGCCAGAGTTGGTTCCTGTTATTTGCAAATAAGAACTCTGATACACGGCATAGGGCACACTGAAGCCATGAGGGATTAGAACCCAGGGCAGGGACTTCTCCTTGGCGTCTCTCCTGGGCTTCTACCCAGAAAGTCTTTCAAAAAAGGAGCCGTGGCCAGCATAGCCATTCGCCCGGGGCCCAGCGGCAGAGGCAGCTCAGCCCTGTGGGGACGACTCTGGCCTGGGCCCTCTTTGGAACTGCAGCTGCGATCGCACCAGCTGGGGGTGGAAGGGTTTGAAGTTGGCCCAAAGCTGCAGAGCCCAGGGCTTAGGTCAGGCGAGCCCAGGGCTTAGGTCAGGCTAGCCCAGCGCTTGAGACAGTGCCCTTCCTTCGAAGGCTTCCCAAACTCCCACCACACGGGTCCCTGTTTCTGAGAGCCCAGCAGTCCTGGCCCAGAGCAGGCCCACAGCAAATGCCCCTTGATGAATCCAGCTGTCAGGATACTCACATATTGCAGCAAGGCAGAAGGATGAGTCACATGACTTCAGAGTTAGCGTCCAATGCTTCCAGCGCTTCTAAGAAGGCGTTCTTGCCAAAATTGCACATATGTGCCTTTAAAAAAACCCGGTAGTTTTCTGATGGAATTTTTCCCTCTCCCAAACCATCAAACACTCCCAACATTAGCCTAGAGAAGAGTCTCTCTTGCAGGTTTCACGTCTTAGGACTTCAGGTCAGAGAACACTCTTGGTAACTCAAGGCTAAGGCTTTTCCTAGATGGCTTTCTGAGAGAGGCCCGGGAGAAGGGGGCTCCCGGAGGTGACTGCACTGCTTCAGTTTGCCACACAAATGGGGCTCTCCCTGGCCACGTCTGGGAGAACAGAAGGCATTCTGGGAACATGGTGCTAACATCCTGCAAAGTGCGGAGACACACAGAGCAGATGGCAGGAACTTCAAAAGCGTTTAAGAGTCACCTTGAAAGACAATGGCGCAAAGGGAGGGGGTGGGAGGCTTTTGTACCCTTTGAAAACAAGGAAGCCGAAAAGACAAAAGCAATTTGCCAAATTTCTGCACGAGTCAATAGAACTGAGAGATGGTTCTGCTGTAATTTATATCAGAGGAGGCCACGCCTCCTGTCTTCTTGTCCAGAAATCAATGGCCTCAATCAACTGACAAACTGTTTCTCTTGCTTCCTGATTTCTTGTCTTTTTTTCTTCCTTCTTTTTTACATAGGAAGCATTTCTCTCTATCCAGGCAGTTAATGCATAATCTCGCCTTCATTTACACCTTAGAAGAGCTGAGGAATCTCTAACTGACCTGACAAACAGGGATCCCAGGAGACACTGGGCACTCACTCTCCTCTTGCTCCTCCTCGCCCAGCCCCGGGGGCACCACTGGGCATATCTAACTTCCTGTGAGCAGGACCCCTCCCACCCCACTGCCAGAGGCAGGTGAGTTGGGGATTCTTGTCCAGGGCTAGTCTGTATGCCTCTTGCACATTTGCAGATGGGCAAATTGAGGTACGAGGTTATGTGACTCGCCTAAGGCCACAAAGCTGCTAGTGTGGGCCCGGATGGAAGGCTGTCTGGCTCAGAGAAGGACCCTTTCTCCTGGATGCCGGATTCACCTCAGCAGAGCAGCGAGAGCCGCGGGTGGGGCGGCCAACTGCTTTTCAACTGAAGATGTTACAGGAAATGTTTGTTCCTGGCTCAGCGAGCTTGTCCTCCAAGATAGAACATTCTAACCCTTCAGCCTCAGCAAAGGTCAACATGGACTTCTTGGTTCCAAGGGGAGGGTGTCCCAGCCTCCCCCAGCCCCTCACCCAGTGTTGCTTCTTAGCAGCAAGGGCCTCAGCTGCTCGCTGAAAGGATCAAGCCTCAGAAGCCTGTTCTCTGTCTTTGAAGCTGACAGCTAGCTGCCTGTGGAAATGCAATACTATTTCAGGGTTTCATTTTTTAAGAGGTTTCAAAGGAGAGACTGGAAGGCTTGGCTGAACTGCTCATTACGACTCCTCTGCCAGCTGCTTCCCGGCTGAGGAGCCCAGCACATCTGTGTCTTTCACCTCATCCACAGGCAGGTGACTGTTTTCAATTAGCACCTGGCTCACTTGGGAGGCTGGTACCTCTCCTTGAGTGTTCTCCCAAGAAGCCAGCAGCACTTGCAGTGTGTGCCCTTCTTACATTATCTGTGTCTGAAATGACCCTCCAGAGAGTCCATCAGGGACAGGACACGACTCTTGTTGAGGACGCCAAAAAAAAAAAAAAAAGGCTATGAAAATGCTCCTGGGGAGCAGGTGACCCGTGGACCCTCAGAGGCAAATGGAAGAAACACCTAGTCTGTAAAGGGGGAGCAGGAGCCACCACACTGCCTGAGAATCTTCACTTCTCCTAGGATGGGAGCGACAGGAAGGCTGAGGGGAGAGGCCCGGAGCCAAGCCTGCGCCAGGCGCTGCTCGCTCACTACAATCTGCCGCAAATTTAAGTGCTCTGGCAGAGCCCCCCTTCCAGAGCCCGTCCCCGTCCCGTCCCTCTAATAGTGCCCCATCCCACTGAAGTACGGTCGTCTTCCTACATCAGCCTCCCTCACTGGTGGGAGGCCCTTGAGGGCTGAGTCCGTCTCATTTATCTTTATATTCCCACACCTGACACAGAGAAAGAGTTCAAGATATGTTAAAGAATGAAGGAACAATCTAGTAATCTGAGGAGAAAGGTTTTACATCCCAACACCAATAGGAAAGGGGAGAGAGAAGGAAGAAAGGGGAGAGGCTAAAGTCCATTATGTCTGAAGTTGATAGAGATTTCAGGGATATGAAACCACTCTGTACCTCAGCAAGGAAAGTATTGTGGTTTCAAAGAGATAGGAGATAAAGGATCGTGGCCCCCTGTGAGCAAAGCCTGTACACCACCAAGCCCAGGTAAGTGCACGCAGATGATGTTCCAGATGGTCTTTCCCAGGAGCAGCTTGCCTGAGACTGAAGAGAGGCTCTTGATTGAGGTGTCACGAGCATAAGGCCACCTGCTCACCTCTCCTTCAAGAGTGACCATCAGTACAGCATCCTGACTCAGGGCACTGGCACAGCAATGTCCCCTCAAAGCAGCCAGAGCATCTTCTCTACCTACACGTAAAGTGCTGAGGAAACAGTCCAATAGCCACATTTCCATTTCAGAGGCAGAGTCATCAAGAATCTGCCGCATCACTCCCTACGAGTTCCCCATTAGGCTACAAGGGGAATACCTGTCCTTCAAGGCTCACTGATTTGTGGAAATTTTTCCCTGTTGTTTCTTCCCCCCCGAGATAAGACAGTGCCTGGAAAGAAGCTCCATTCACAAGGACCTTAGCAGAAGGCTCGAGGGGCCCTCTCATGACTTGCTCCTGATCTGCTACAATGATACCTCCAACCACACATACCTGCGAGCCTTGAGAGGAAAGTGCTTCTGTGGAAAGGTCTCGAGTTCCCAGCCTGGCTCTATTTATAACAGGGAAGCATTGTTTCTGTGGGAACACACCACTAATTTTCCTGGCAGCTGATGACTCACGTGATGGGTTCACCCAGAGCACAGGGAAGAAGTATCGGCTCGCCCACCAGGCGGTCACACCGTGCTGGGGGTTGGGGGGCAGTGGGCAGCTAGGTAATGAGTCTGAGCCCTCAAGGAAATCATCAGCACGGTCATCGCAAGAGAAACCCCTGGCCTGCACCGGTCCTAAAACAGTAGTTTACCTAGCTATTAGAAGAGTTGGAGCCTCACCTTCCTTTTTTTTTTTTTTGTTAGGTTCTAGAAGTTGTGGGATTTTTGATAAGACAGGAGAACCCTCATTCATGGGCTGCCAGGATAAGATCCTTGAATACCATGAGCCAAATTTAACTGGGAGCAACTTTCTATATCTTGGTGATAGAGAATTATGGTACATGAAGACAGCCATGTCAATAAAACCATAAGAGGCCACGAGAGAAAGCAGGCACAACAAAACCCAGATTCCACAGAAAGACAGAATTGTTCTATTTGGTAAACAGTCTGGTCCAGACAGACCGCATCCTGTTAAGATGTTCCCCTTGTCAAGGTCTGCTTATCTAGCTACTGCTGCTAGAAGGATCTTTTCATTTTTAAGATGTGTCACTAGCTTATCGAACCTATTTCTGGAACTCTCTCTGTGAGAGCCAGTTTAAGCTGCCTTCTCAATTCACTCTGCACTCGAAAGAGACCAATTTCCAATTCCTCCTCAGAGTCCATGAGACCAGATGCTGTGACACAGCTCCAGCGAGATGAGCCGAGGAAATGATCCCATGACATTCCTGGGTGAGCACAGGACACATCAGCTTTGTCTGTGGCTGGAACATACATCGGCTTCAGGTCGGGGGCTGCCATCTCCTCCCTGCGGATCTTTCTGATGAGACGTGCATCTGCAACCACACAGGGGGTCTTGGGGAACAGAAGAAAGTTCCCAATGAGGCTAGGGGACAAGTGATGGATTCAGAGCACAGTCCTGCTTACAGCGAGAGCCTACTGCATCTGGCAGCCGGAGTTGGGCAGCAACTCCTGCAAATGCGAGGCTACTGCTTTTGTTAGGTAGGTCATCGTCCCGTAGGCCCCACTGGGTGCACTGTCGTAAAAGAAGTGGCAAACCCCCGTGGCTTGGTCTTTCTCCAAGGTGTCCAGGGTGCCAATGGCCATCTGCAGCAGGAAAGAGCAGAGGGACGAATGAGCAGAGGCCAGCCTCCCTCTCGTCAGGGACTCTGCATGTTGGAGGGTGGTCCCGTGGGCAGGCACGGGGCTGGGGTTGGGATGTGAGAGGCCTGCTGCTGCCTTGGGTGTGCCCTTGCTCGTGGCGAGGGGTGCCCAGCCCTGTGCCAGGGCAGCTGGGGCCGCTAGGGGATGGCTTGCCTCTGCTCTGGCATGTGACCATGTTTTCCAGGTACAGCCTCTCTGTGATGAGGGGACTGTGGGTACAGGGCAGTGACTTATCCGGGACCGTGGACATTGCAAGTGGGGCTGTTTGGAGTAATACCTACGTGGCAGCAGGCCTGCCCACCTCCCAAAGTCCTAAGATTTCCCGAGTGGTCACCATGCCATTTTCTCCACCAAATGGTTGACATTTTTGCACCATCTGTGATGACATTTTCTTTGTTCAAGTCTATTCTTCCCTATTGGATGCAGAATCTCCAACCTCAGCAGAGATGAATGCCAGCCACCTAGGCTGCCTAGCCCGGCTGGCCGGCTGCGGCACACCCACCTGGTCCTGCAGGAACAGCTGATTGGCCGTCCTCACAATCTGGTCCACGTGGATGATGCCCCCGAGGCTGCTCATTTCCGTGTCGGACAGCAGCGTCAGCACCAGGATCGCTTCCACCAGCAACTGCCGGTACTCGGGCTGGGGCACGCGGTTCAGCACTGACTCCACGTGGACAGCGAACTTGATTTCATGCGGGGTCATCTGCCAAAGGGACCAGCAACAGCCAGGAGTAAGGCGAGCACAGGAACAGCCCTCTGCCCCACGCAGACCACAGCATTGAGGGCTCAGCTCAATGCCACCTCCTTTCTGGCCCCTCCTGACTGTGCCAGTAGACTCCTGGGGGGGCAACGCGCAGAGCCCTCCCCAGGGAGCCAGGGTCCCCGTCCTTCTCATCCAGCCCACTTGACTGGGACTTCCTGGGGGCAGGGGCCATGTCTCTCTCTCTTTCTTCTTCATTATTCCCTGTGGCATACAGTGTGGTGCCTTGGGCAGGGTCAAAACGAAACCATCCATTTTGAAAAGAGTGACTAGGGGCCAATAAGCTAAGGCAGACGGCTGTTTTCAGTTGATGAGAAGCGGCCAGGGGCAGTAGAGCACAGGTCTAGCTTGTGCGGCACGGGGCTCTCCTTATTTCTCTTAATGGGGGTAGCTCAGTGGTTAAGAGCTTGGCTGCTAACCAAAAGGTTGGCAGTTCGAATCCACCAGCCACTCCTTGGAAACCCAATGGAGCAATTCTACTCTGTCCTATAGGGTCACTATGAGTCGGAATCGACTGGATGGCAACGGGTTTGGTTTTGGTATAAGGGGTCTGTGCCTATAGAGGCAAATCTCAGGATCTTGTGGCCAAGGAATGCTGTTTCTGGGGGCAAGGTGATGCGAATCAAAGGAGGGAAGAAGCTTGGCAAAACGTGAGGGTGAAATGGCTACCAAGACCAGACGTGCGGATCGCCTGTCTAGAGCCCGTGAAATCAAGCGCCTGTGGGAAGCAGCAGCAGAGCCAGCATTTAGGTTTTTCCCGTCGTACCTCTCGCGTCGCTGAGGAAGGGAGGACATAACCATCAATGGAGAGACCGTGGCACTGCAGGCAGAACACACACAGCATTTCTGTTATATGCCAAGATGTGGTTAGCAAGTGCACACACACACACACACACACACACACACACACACACACACACATGCATGCATACTTCGAGTTGCTCTGCCCTGGAAGTCTGTACAAGGGCTGGAACACGCCAGACTGCCGGAGTTATTTTTAGACAGCTTGATCTCACAGCCCACAGGCTATGTTTTCGATGGAACAATTCTAGGGAAACCAGCAGGCATCTTTCAGATCTCGCAGGAACAACACCCTAGGGAGCTGCTGAGTCCTCCTCTGTGGAGGCTTGCTTGCTCGGTGTTGAACTTGGCACCCGGGACTGGTGGCTGTGAGGCTCCCTTTGGTGCCATAATAAAGGGAGGGTTTCATGGCTCCTGCTGGTGAAGTAATGCCCCGCACCATTGCAGGCATCTATTTTTGAGATGTCTATAATAAGCACCAATCACAAAGGGCTCAGGCACATGCACAGACGCGCACACACAGACTCGTGGGTAGAAATATCAAGCGGCAGCTCAACAAAAAATGCTGCCTCTTCATGATAAAAGCTTCTTGGTAGGAAGCCAGGGGAAGTCCGGGTGGAAGCGTATGATACCCCGGGAAGAATGGGGAGATTTTCTAGGAACAGCTTGTTTGGTCTAATTAATTTGATCCTAAATCAAGGCCCGGGCTGGCAGCAGCGGCACTGCCTTTGTCCCCAGAGGGGCTGAGGACACAGTGGCAACTTTGCCCTTTCACCTGAGCAGGTGCAAATGCCTCCTGAGAAGAGGCAGAGAACAGGAACCCAGAGGCCTCTGCGGGCTCTGCTCTGACGTGCAGACCCCATCAGGAGGACTCTGGTGCCCACATGGGCAGAGGCCAGCGCCTCAGAAACCACACAAGTGGGTGGTGGTGGGGCTGCAAAGCCCATGTGGCTTCAGGAAGGGGTCTGCAGGCTGCTTGCATTCGGGATTGCTTCTCCCTCCTCTTCTACTGGGAAATGAGCTAAAAAATTAATTTAGGAAAAAAACCAGTCCTGCCACTGGTTCATGGTCTGCATAGCAGCTTCTGCCCGAGGCAGGCTGTCCCTGCCTGTCAGAGGAAGAGCAGCTTTGGCGTGGGCCCCAGGAGACACACGCCTGCTCCAGGCTGGTCTCAGAAGGAGACAGCCTGGGGCGCGGAGGACTCAGGCCGCCATCTTCCCGCCCTGCCTTCTCCTGGGCTATGGGCACGCAGACGGGCTCTGCAGTGTCCAAACATGCGTGACGTAGCCTGCGGCTGTGCCCGTGACACCTGTTTCCAGTGACGGCCTCTGCTGGTATTTGAACAGTCCCCAGGCAGACAGGAAACGCAGAGGGGAGTGGGGTCGGGCAGCAGAGGGGCCCAGGGCACCTGGGAGCTCAGGAATGGAAAATTCCACCTCTATGTGCCTCAGGCCTTTCCCACAGCGTCCTGCAGAGAGGAGGGGCCTGGTGGGGCCTGCTTGATGCCAGACACCACAACTGAAGCACGCCGGAGGCTGGCAGCTGACCCAGTCCCGGTGCCTCCTGACCTGGCATTCCATGGCCAGGGCCTGGGGGATGTTCCAGGTCTTTATGTCACAGCGCTTCACCCACTGCCTTCCTGGCCTCCTTCAGCTCTTGTGTATCTCCTGACTTCTCTGTATTCCTAAGTATGTCACCTTGCCTTACCTGCTGTGGTTCAGGAGTGCTGGGCCTCTCTCTTTGACTGAGCCAGAGGTTCTCCACGGGGGCCCTTTTCCCCCCAGAGAATACTCGGCCATGTCTGGAGACATTCTGTCTGGCACAACTTGGGGGAGGGTGCTACTGGCATCTCATGGGTGGAGGCCACGGAGGCTGCTAAACGTCCTACAGTGCACAGGACAGCCCCCCGCAGCACAGAGTGATTCTGCCCCTGAACTAAGCTGTGAGCTACCTAAGCCCGGGGACCGTGTGCTTTGCCTGTTCTACGGCCACGTGGTACCTGACACTTGCAGGTACCACTGTGCCTCACAAAGGGAGGAAGGGATGATGACTCATTCCCTGGGAGCATGTGTCTCATGGCACCAACGCTGGCGGAACGTGGTCCAGGGGCCAAGCTCACCTTCTGGAGGATCTTCCACACCTTCTGGTAGAATCCCACAGGGACCCTATTAATGGCCCCATCCAGCCGCCTCCTGCGCAGCCACTGGCCCTGCCGCTCCCCCCAGCCGATGTGATGCCCTCCTGAGTCCGACGACGATGTGCCTGTGGGCGAGGACGGGGTGCTGGACCGCTGCAACACAAGACAATGAGGCCGACTCCTCAGTGACAGTGGGCACCCGCCGAGTGCTCCCCATTGAGGAGGACAACTCAGCTCACTTCCACCACCACCAGAATGCCACCTGCCCAGAGGATGCAGCTCCTTGATTCAGCCTGGCCCATTTCTGGAAGCTGTTCTCTTTCCTTCACTGGTTTGGTGATGTATCCCTTCCAAGCACTCCTCCTGGCCCCAGAGAGGTACCATACCCTTCAAGGACCTCAAGCGTACAGGGAGGAGGCTGGCATGGCGGGGGTGGGCACTGGAGGGAGATAGCCAACCCCCAATCCCAGCTGTCAGTCCTTATCTCTACCCCTCCTTCGGACCTCAGTCTCATCTGAAAGTGGGGATACAAGAAGCCCTTCTGCAGAGAGCAGTCAGGGAGCACTCACTGGGTTGAGATCCATAAAACCCCGGGAGCCATGCTGGCTGGTGATGAGGGCTCATTAAGGGTTGGCCGTTACGACCAGAGCCAACTCCTAAGGGCTCAGTGCCCGGAGGCCCTCCATTGTGGCAGGATTGCTGCGAGAGGGACACTGGCCCTCAGAGCAGTGGCCTTCTGAGGTACCCACCTCTCAGGGAGACAAATGTCAAACTGCCCACTCTATTTCTGTAGTCTCACAGAGAAGGGATGATCACCTCCCCACAGAGCAGGTACCACAGAGAATGCAACACCTAATATGGGGGAAAGGGTCTGGAGCCAAAGACAAAAGTAAAGGCTCCCACTCTGCCTCCCACACGGGGGACTCAGGGAGGATGGTTTCCCTCCCCCATCCGGGTCAAGTCTGCTTTCTCCTTGTCCTGTTCTCGGCTTGCCCGTGACTTAGGACAGCGGCTGCCTTGGGCCGGGAACTGTGTCCTCCAGAAGCGAGGGACAAGGGTATCATCCTTCCGCTTCCTCTGGGTCCGCCTGTCAGAGGTGGCAGGGGGGACATGCCTGTAGAGGCAGCTGGAAAGGCTCCAGGGGCCCGGAGGCCAGGCTGGAGTGGGGGGGCTCCCCTGGCATGGGGGCGGGGCCACGCCTACACACCCTCTCTACAGCCAAGCTCCTGGGCTGCTTTCTGTCACACCCCTGGCCTCCAGGGCAGGGAGGTGACACCTTCACCCTGAGATATCCCGTTGGTGCTAGACTACTGGATACTTTCATTTCTAAATGCACAACATCAAACTGACAAGTTTGAAAAAGGAGCCCCAGTCTTAAACCTACTGCAGAGCATGGAGGCAGGGCTCGTCTCCACGTGCTCATTTTTCCTTCCTTGGATCTTATTTTGAAAAGGCAGTTAGCCTGGGTTGTTCCATTGGGCTCATTACTGCCATTTAAGTACAGCAACAACTAGATACAAAGGAAAGTAATTACAGCTGCCTTCCTCAATGACTCAGCTGTCTTTCTCCTTCTAGTTTCAGGAGGAAGAATCAGGCTCACCTCTGCAATTAGAATACCAATTTCCCAGTGTTCTATTTGATCCGGGGCCCCACGCCAGGAAGGCCATTCTGAGGGCCAAGTGCCTAGGCAGCAAGTAGGGAAATCGTTCACCACCCAAGGCACTGAAGCAAGGCCCTGAGGTTCTGGAAGCTTCCAGGAATTGGTGAGGAGAACACTCCTTCACGTCCCTCTGAGGAGTAGAAGCAGAGAACTGAGACTTGGCTCCAAACAGAAAACGCTCAGTTCAAGACCTCTCAGCCTTCTAGATGCTTCTCAAAATTTCAGGCTGGCGAGGCTGTCGGTGTCAAGTGAAAACACTTAACCCCTGCTCAAATCTTGGGAAGTTAAGGACAAGGTGGGAGTAAGAGAAAGGCAACAAGAGGCTCCAGGCACTACAGACAAGGGGGCAATGAAGGAACTCAGGGGTCGCCGCACTGTTTACCACAGACTTGGAGGAATGTGCGCTGCTTGACACGGCCTGGCCCACAGAAAAGAACTACAAAACAAAAAGAGTCGACTCAACCAGGTACAAAGGACACCAGGAAGCAAGCAGAGAAGAAGGCAGAGCAGCATCAGAATCCCCCCAGGACAGAAGGAGCCAGAAGGTGGAAGCAGAGAAGTCCTCATTCTCCTCGTCACCACACGCAGACTCCCCACCCTAGAAGCCACCTGGCAGCAGGGCTATGAGCACTAACTCAGTACAGAACTTGGTAAATGGTCTTTCTTCCCATATTCAATGTCACCAGGATGTAGTCATAGATGGAGGATTTCTAATCAAGTTAGAGCACAATTTATCTTCCAAAGCCACACCATGAAATGGTAATCTTTTCTGTTCAGAGCAACAAAATATCCATAACAGGCTTTCAGTAACTACGTTAAATGAATGACTAAGATCAGGCTGATGACTTTTGGCTGAACAAATATTTCCTCACCTAAGAATCTAGAAGGTACCCTTCACTTGCATGGGCACAGTGTATGAGCACACACAGATGCACACACGACGTTCTTGAAAAAGTGAAGAGAAACTGAAAACGTCATGGCACCTATTACATTTTGAATGGATAATAATACATTTCCTTGCTGCACATGGCCCAACAGAAAACTTTTCCTGGCTAACTGACTCTAAATCCTTATGGAAGCAAGGTGACTCTTCTAGCCCCATTTAAATGGAGGTGGAAGAAACCGCCACTCTTCACCAACTGCCAGCCATTGGTATGAGGGTGACCAGAGGGAGGGTGCCACCGAGTGGCCGGCAAAGAAACATGTTCTAAAGTGGGTTCCTGACTTGGGAATGGGAAGAGTAGAAACTGGAATGAGAGATCTGGTACGTTTCACCCCCAACGATGCGTAGATGCCACATGGACATGTTATTATCCGTTTCCTCTATTTTTGCCCAGTGACAAAGCCATTAGATCAGGAGAAAGGTGACTCCAAGTGTTGGGATGGAGGAGGAAGTAGACCTGCTGTACTTTTTCTCCTTCCAGGTTGAAATCCCAAGTGATCAGGAAGAGGAATGTTTTTGGTTGTGTGCTGTCCAGTAGATTCCGACTCATGGCAATCCCATGGGAGGGTAGAATTACCCCATAGGGTTTTCTCGGCCGTAATCTTTATGGAACCAGATCACCAGGTCTTTTTCTCATGGGGCCTCTGGGTGGGTTTGGTTAGCAGCTGAGCCGGGCTCCTTAGGGAGAAGAATAGCAGTATTCTTTCTACTGATGTAATCAATGGCCACATTTTACTTTAACTTTTCCGATTCTTTCTTTTTCTCTCTTTGAACAGGGGGCAGGGGGTTCCTGGGTGGTGCAAACTGCTTGGCTGCTAAAAGAAAGGTTGGAGGTTCAAGTCCACCCAGAGGTGCTTCAGAAGAAAGGCCTGGCAATCTACTTCTGAAAAATCAGCCATTGAAAACCTTATACACCTCAGTTCTCCTTTGACACACACGGGGTCATCATGAGTTGGAGTCGACTTGGCGGCAACCAGCTTTTTTTTTTTTTTTTTACTGGTTTTTTGAGCAGGGGCCCAGGACCAGTCCAGGACCACCTTTCACAAAATATCCCACAAATCCAGAGTTTGATTGTCTTTTTTTAAGGGCCTAGTCATTTCTCCTGCTTTTGAGTCCAGGTCCCGCCCGTCCCAGCACCTCCACCCCAGCGAGCAGAGCCGCTCCACACACATCCACACTGCTTGTCTGCATAGCCTCTCTCCACATTCAAGCCGGAAAGAGCGTGAAGCGCCCACCACAAGGGATCAGACATGGCAGAGATGGTTCACCTGTTCATCAGCACTAAATCGCCTAGTCATCTGCAAGTAAGAATACATCAGGAAATCAACAAAAGCCAGCTTCGAACAGAGAGCACCCTGCTACTGCTGTCACCCTCTAGACAACCCAGCGCAGTGCTGTTCAAACTGCAGGGTGGGATCCGCCGGCAGTCATGGACTCTCTCTAGTGGGTCATCTTGACCCGTTTTTGAAATAGAAAAGAAAATCAGAGTGTGTTTCTCACTGCAGGTCATGCTCAAAAAAAAGGGAAAATACATTTCTTACTGTGGCTCATGGGCAAAGGAGTTTGATAAACACTGTCCTGGCCCCAGCACAGTGCCTGGCCCATTAGGACTGAAAAGATGTTGCGCTGCAGTCAGGTGGGGTCAGTTCCAAAGGACTGTTACTGTGAATTAAATAAAGGTGAGTAAAGACAGACAAGAAACAGCTCTGTGGACGGGGAAAGACAGGTATGCCAGCGTGCTGTTCTATTGCTATTTCACCGGAAGGACACATCTGATGGAGAGATCAGCCCATTCCTTTTTGAATGGCTACTTTTTAAACGGCTGTGGCCCACTCGAAAGAGCGGCTCTAGGGGACAGAGGCAAACACGGAGAACGGCATTTTCCGGAACATTTCCATGCCATGTTAGTTCAGGATGGGAGTGTGTGGGTAGATGGGAGCAGGCCTGGGAGATCTGGGCACAGGGGTCTGTGTGGATCCCAGGACAGAAGGGACCTTGGGGCCTCCACAGGGTCCTGCATGCCCTAGGTCTTTGTCCCTTTCTACAGTGAGCCCAGGAAGGAACACCACCTCTCTCCGAGCTGCTGCTGCCACCAAGGGGATCTCCTTACCTGTTTCATCTCGCTCCTCAGCCTGTTAATGCCGCTCCTCTCCGTTTTGGTGACTCCAGTGTGTCCTACCTCGTGGATGGAGATGGCAGGGCTGGATGTGGTGGAGTGGATAGGTCGCACTGGAGAGGAAACACACACACAGACACACACACACACACACAGACACACACACACACACACACACACACACACACACA